ATTAAATATAAATTAAGCAAACGTGTATTGCACGTTGCTTGCACCTCGTGTATATATATATATAATTTATATTAATTTGTAGTTTTGATTTATATATTATGTGGGCTCATTTTTAATAGACGTGACTTGATTTTGTTATATTATTACTTGATATTACCAAAATACAAGTGTTGGATAGGCCACCATTTATTAGTTATTTTGTAGAAAATGTCATACTTATAAAAGAGTGGGTTGCATTCGGGCAATTTTTAGATCACAGAAGCATATTTATGTTTGTGATCAAGGTCACAGTCATAGTAATGCAATTTTTAGGTCATAAACGCATACTAATGTTTATGATCAAGGTCACAATCACATGTCTAACACTCTAATTTGTACAGGATCAAGGTCACAAGTAATGCCCTGATTCTTATACAGAAATACGAGAATAGAATAATATACCATTTTACGTGTGCTTGGAGGAGATGCTAGAGTTCATTGCACTGTTGTTTAACATAGTGAGTTTAGATCCATTATTGAAAAGGAATTAACATATTGTGAACTTTGCAATTGTTTTCTAGGTTCCAAAGGATAAGTGAAGGCTAGTATTGGAAGCATTGTTTCTGATTATACACATTGTTTTCGTTGCGTGATTTGGGGAAAATCTGGAGTTTTGGATACGAGAGTTTTTTGGTTAATTTTTATTGGTGGTGATGTTGGCAGTTGGTGGTGGTGGTGGTGCTTGCTATGGTGATGAGGTGCTAGCGATGGTTGAATAGATGGCAGTGTTTGCTATGGTGATTAGGCACTGGCAATGATAGTGGCACAGATGGTGGTCACAAATGGTTGTGGTGGTGGTAGTGGGGTGGCGTTCGTGATCAATTATTTAGGTTATTGTAACCAATATGATTAATTGGTGACCAATAAATAATATGTGACTAAAAAAAGTGATATTGCCACTAAATCTGTAATCGTGAATCACGATTTGTTAAGTTGTAACAAATTAATTTAATAATTTATGACTCTAAACTAAGTTGCGATCTATAAAATTTGTGATTTATGATATAAAAAAAATAGGTCGTGACCAATTATTTTATGAATGAGAAATAATTTGTGACAAATTAATTTGATAATTTGTGAATGTGAAATAAGTTCAAAGACTCTAGGTTACAAATTCAATGTCTTTTTTATGATGAGGTTGGAGAAAATAATTTAGATATTTCAATATAATGATGAAACTTCTGAAAAGTTTGTTTGAACACACAAAATGGAAAATAAGAAAAGAGAGAGAGAGAGAGAGAGATACTGAGATAGTGCTGAAAGAATCATGATGTGGTAGGTAGGTCATAGGTGGTACACCAATATACCCAGTTTCTTGCTTACTAAATCCCCCAAAATATGGAAATGGTTACACGTGGATGAATATATTTAATGCTAAATGTACTGGTTCATCAATTTCAGCATCAGTACAATTCACAAAACTGCAGTCCTCATGATATGTCGTGAGGTTGACATATTTCTGTAGTGCTTGAAGCACGGGGTACTTTTAAGAAGGGAAGTGCTATAAGTACATTAGGGATGCCATAATGGACACATGTCACCCTACCATTGGAAAGTGTATTGGTGGGCCAACACACTCTTCAATGGTGGGGTGCCATGTGTCCATTATGGACACCATTATGGCACCCCTAATGTATAAGAAGAATTATCCAGCTAAAAATTTGTAAACATGACAAAAAAATACAATTAAACTAAATCAAAATAGAAAAATGCTAAAATGAATCTCTAAACTATGGAATTCGATCTAAAAAATGTACACAATTGAAAAATGTTTCCGGATTGTACTCGCTAGTGAAAATTTCATACCAAGCTGAAAGTTACGCGCATTTTCGTAGATCGTGCTCATTTCTTCTCTTTTCTAATTGATTTATGGTCTTTTCTTTTAACTGATCCACATCACTTTTATACAAACTAGTTCGAGGTTGTATTACTATTAGTCGTAATTATAGTATATAATGTTGTTGTGTTTAGTAGATTTGTAACTGTTGGACCGATGCTGGCTGTCAGAAAATATGGAAGGATTATTAGAAATTACTTGGTGGAGACAATGGAAAGGTGACTGTTGCTCTATCTATTATTTCGGATACTCCAGTCCAAACAAAGAGCTAGCTGACGTCAGGGCTGTCCACATTGACTCCATGATGTTAGCCTATAGGATAATCAGCACATAACGTCTTTACATTTCACTATTATCGCAAAAAAGTCATTACCTTTCATTTTTCAGCATTTGGACCCTTATTTCCACATTTCATTGTGCAAAATGTCATTTTCATCCATTTTCTCAATTAAAAGTTGTAAATTGACGAATATACCCTTCTTTAAAAAAAAAGAACTAATTACAACCACAGTTCTAATTTTTTTAAAAAAAAAGTGCAAACAAGTCCCAAATGAATTAATAAAATGATAATTAGCACATAATGTCCATATTTTTTATTATTATTGTGAAAGTCGTCTAAACTTTTCATTTTTTTACATTTTCACTCTTAATTACACATTTGATTACCCAAACCACCATTTCTATCTATTTTCATCTAATTTATCAATAAAAAGATGTGAAATGATGAATATACCATTTTGTTTAAGTATAAAAAGGAAAAAAAAAATAACTAATTGCAACCATAATTCTAATTTTTTAAAAAAAGTGCAAACAAATCCCAAATAAATTATTTAAAAATTAGAAATTAACTTTTTTTTAAAAAATACAAACGAGTTCCAAATATATTATTAAAAATTAGAAATTAAAAAAATCTTTAAATTTCTTTTTTTTTTAATTATTTAAATATGAGTATATATTCGTCATTTTACAGTTTTTATTGAGAAATTGGATGAAAATTGATAAAAATGATGATTTGCGCAATTAAAAGTGTAATTAAGGGTAAAAATGTCCAAAATATAAAATAAAATATATAAACGTTTTTCACAATAATAGTGAAAGATATGAATATTATGCAGTAATTATCCTTCTAATAAATTATTTGGGACTCGTTTGCACTTTTTAGAAAAATATGGGCTATGATTGTAACTATTTTTTTCTTTTTCTTTTATTTAAATAGAAATGTACATTCGTCATTTCACAGCTTCTAATTGAGAAAAATGATGAAAATGACATTTTGCACAATAAAAAGATGAAAATAAGAATGAAAATGCCAAAATATGAAAGGTAAGAACGTTTTCTATAATGTTAGTGAAATGTAAGAACGTTACGAGCTAATTACCCTAGCCTATAATACAGAGAGGACAAAATGGGAATTTCAGACCTTGGCCAAACAGGTAGGTTTTAAGGAGTTCAGTAAAGTTTGTTGTGCTTTCAATTTGTGGATTATGGAATTTTGTAAATGAATGTTTTATTATGTTGGGTGTTTATATGTCATGTAAATTGGACATTGTCTTCCAAATTCATCCCCTAACCTAATAAGGCTTTTCTTTATTAAAAATAATTTTTATTTTATCAATATTCGCGAGTTCCTTTATTTTTTTTTCCTTCCACATAGAAAAAACTGTCTTCCATATTCATCCCGAAGGACCCGAACCTAATGAGACTTTCTTGGTTGCGTAAAGTGAAAGTAGTTTCAAAGTACAAGACCGTTTTAAATCTCATGGTGCTTCAGATAAGTAGCGACGGAATTATGACTCAAATACAGAGGAGACCAAATTTAACTACTAAAATTTTTTTAAATATAAAATATTATAATATTAAGAATAAATATGCTTAAAGTAATACTAATATGACAAGAATGGGTGAATAATACATCATTAAAAAGAGGAAAATTTTGGGGGATAAGTGTGCCCACCAAACTTTAGGTAAATGTCACAAAATCACACTGCTAAACCAAACTTTAGGTAACCAATTCAATTATAGGCCAAAAAAAAAAAATAAAAAATCAACTGTTTAAATTCACCTCTGAAACGGCCAACTTGTCACCTAAATCGATTATTTTGCAACTAAAATTTATTTTATATATTTTGTTAATATGTTTTATCACTGATTCAATCCTATACCCTTCATATTTTCTAAATAAATGTATGAACCAATTTCTAAAGCATTAATTTTCACTTTCTCCCCTTCTTTTTGATAATTAGAAAATACATCCTCTATACTACCATACATGTTGAGGTTTACTTCAAAAAAATTCTTAACCTAAAATACCACAAATGATCAGACCAGGAGAATAATTAGTACCTAAAGGAAATATCTAATTCAGAGTTGTTGGCATTCAGAGTGACTAAAGGAATAAATTTAATTAAGTTGAAGATGCTTGATGACATGGTGAAAATAAAGAGGATGACACGTCTATACATACCAAAGCAGTAAAATGAAAGTTGAATACTTACACAGGGAACACAATCTCAACTCCAACACCTGCAATAATCCGTCGAATCCGTATTGTTGTGTGGATGCCAGCATTTTGCTTTGATATGACTATTCCTTTATACACAGATAACCTGCGCTTATTTTCAGGAACTTCCTGAAAGCCAAATGAAAGAATTCCATTTAAATGGTACCAAAAATAAAACGTAATACTTGCATATACACATCCAAACTGAAAGTGTAAAATTATAAAAA